GGTCGACCCGGCGATGGACGACCGGGCGACAGCCTTCCCGGCGAAACCCAACTGGGCGACGGCCCAACCCGGCGATGGACAACTGGACGAAATAGGGAATATATTAAAATGCATCCAAAAAATATTAGGCGATTTTAATAAATGCACATTCACCGCAATTCTTTTATTAATGCATTTCCATCTAATTTATGTAATACGAGTATAATAAATTTGGAATGAAAACCTTCAGGACATACATACATACAAACAAAATGCTTGATCATGATACCAATGTTTGACAGTTGTTTCCATAGCATGCTAAAAAATTAAAAAAATTATTTTTCTTTAATTTTTTTGCAAAAAAATTCCGGCTAATGTAACAATGCAAATTATCATTGAATTCAGCAAAAAAATTCTATCGCAATGTAACAATGCAAATTATCATTGAATTCAGCAAAAAAATTCTATCGCATTCACCTAAAAAAACAAGATCACGCCATTTAAAAAAAAAATTGACTATGAGTACGCCCTTAAGATAAGAATTTAAAACGTTTTAATTATGGTTATTTTGTAGTATTTTAGTATTCATTAAACATAGTTTTTGATTCATTCAAATCGGACTAAAATTGTAGAAACTACAGCTTGCGGCGTTTTTTAAATTACACCCTGTAACGTTAATCTAGCTAGTACCTATTAGAGTAACATTACCTACCTTTGTATATAAGATCTGTGTATTTCAATTAATATTTTTTTAATTACTAAGATGATAATTGACTATTAATGCACATTAACCGTAATTCTTTTATTAACGCATTTCCATCTAATTGATATAATATGATAAATGATCAAGTTAGCATAAAGGTAGTTAACGTTAATCTAGGTACTTGGCTTTAATGAAAGAAAAGTACCTATTAGATTAACAATAGCCCCCTTTGTATATGATACATGTGTATTTCAATGATTAATTGTTAATTACTAAGATAATAATTGAATATAAATTTACTACTCTCTTTGTTTAAGTACGGGTAGCTCCCCTCCAGATACCTGCAAATTTATCAACCTGTGGGCTCTGATTTAATTTTGAGTTATTACCGTTTTTCATTTTCTTAGAAATACATGTTCTAAAATGAACCAAAATAATGTCAAATCGCAAAGAGGTACTAACAAGTTTGTGCACGAAGGCTTTGTCTACGTAAAAGACAAAGATAGCATAGATGGGGCAACGATTTTTTGGAGATGTGATAGAAAGTATAGTGGTTGTCGTGGAAGAATCTGGACCAATAGTGTCGATGGAACATTCAACTGTTTGCGAAGAAATCACACGTGTTGTGCTACCGGTGATGCTGCGCGAATTGAAGTGCTTAAAGTTCAAACAAATGTGAAACACCGTGCAGCTTCTACAATGGAAACTCCATCCCAAATAAGAACAGAGGTACTCCAAAATGCTTCAGCTGCAACTCTAGGGCGAATTTCAAGTTCTATGGCGATGGCAAAAATGGTCAATCGAGTTCGTAGAAAGGAAAATGTTGCACCGGCCATTCCAGACACACGTCGCGGTATTGAGGTTCCCGAAAATTACAAACAGTACGAGGTATCCGAGGGAGTTTTCGAAAATTATTTGTTAATGGATTCCGGAAATGACGATGACAATCGTATTCTTGTTTTTGGAAGAGAGTACAACCAAACATGGGCACACGACATGCGTGACATCTTCATGGACGGTACATTTCTATTGGCACCACCATTATTCAAACAAATTTTTGTTGTTCTTGCCCGTCGCGGTGAGCGGTACGTGTTTCCGGTGCTCTTCTGTCTGCTGCCCAACAAAACAACACAAACATACCGAAAATTATTCTTTCTTATAAAACAACAGTGGCCTCGTTTCAACCCCGAGACGATAAACGTGGATTACGAAGTCGCAATTCATGATGCATTACGCACTGAATTTCCGGAAGCCGATGTACGAGGATGTTTTTTCCATCTCGTACAAAATCTGCGAAAACATCTTTCCAGCAGCAATCTATTAGGTAGATACCAAACCGATGCGGATTTCGCTTTGCAAGCGCGAATGATTACATCATTGGCTTTTGTACCTGAGGAAAATCTAATGCAAGCACTTATTGACTTAGAAAATTATGTCACAGATGATTTGGAACCAATAGTAGCCTGGTTCACAAACACTTACGTGGGCCGACTTCGAAATAACGGCACTAGGGCTCCTCCGAATTTTCCATATGCCACCTGGTCGGTGTTGCAAAGGACATTAGCAGGAAGCGACCGAACAAATAACTATGCCGAAGCGCTCCATCGGAAACTGCAACTAGGATTTGGCGTAGCACACCCAAGCATCTGGAAATTTTTGGATGGGCTCAAGAAAATCCAAAAATTATTTGATGCTACGTACGAGGATTTCGTAGCTGCACGTGAACCCCCTTTAAAACGACGCCGATACGACGAAGCAGACAGAAGAATTTTGACGAAAGTTCAAAATTTTGATGCAGGCAGTATAATTGAATATCTGCGAGGTTTGTCACACAACTACCGCATGGAGTAGGTAATCTATTGTTGTTATTTTTGAGTTGTACTGTATGTATTCAGTTTTCATTATTTGTACATTTGCCTTTAATAAAGATAGTTTATGTCGATCTGTTCATATTTTATCATTCTCACCGTGAAGGACCATGAACAGCGGTACTGCCTCTTTTTACTTATTAACGTATACAAAGAAAAATGTGATTGCTCATTTTGAAAACATTTAATTACGTTTACAAGAAAATTTTTATAAAATACCCTTTCTTCCTGGAATAGAATATAAGCCCTTAATAAAAAATTCGTAGATACAGTATTTTTCAATATACACAACGTTAAATATTGGGTAATAATGTAATATAAAATACTTGTATATTTTTCAAATTTCGTCCAGTTGTGCGTCGCCAAGTTGGGCCATCGCCCGGTTGGCTTTCGCCAGGAAGGCCATCGCCCGGTCGTCCGTCGCCGGGTCGGCCTCGCCGGGTTGGGATGTACCGCAATAGGTGTGCCTCGGCTTCGATAACCCTTGGTGCTATCCTGAAGTTCTGATAGAAGAAATAGAAGTGACGCTGACGAAGACGGAAGAATAGGTAGTGTCCAGTGACGTTCGATTAATTATATAAAATTGATTTCCAGAGAGAATAGAATGGCTAAAAGAATTTATGCCTAAATCCCGTGCAAGATGGTAATAAGTTGGCTTACCTCTACAGGTGTTGAACGAGCCTAAGTTTTATGCTGCCATGTGGTTAATGATCCGCACAACGCGTAAAACGCCAAATCACAATTGGAACAATTGAAATGTAAGTAAATAATAATTACGGCGTAAATGTAGCTTAAATTCTTGATAATCCTCACAGATGAGCCGGATAAAACCCAGTTAAGAATTTGTAGCTTCACCACATACAGACAAGTGTCTTACAATGCCACAGGAAGAATGAATTCGGGGAAAATCAAGAGAACTAGGGATTCCCCTTATCTATTAGGTAATACAAATAAGGAAACCGAAAGTTTCCTAAATTCAAATTGTATGACAAAGAAAGAAGACCTAGATAAGCTGAGAGAAAGAATAGGAAGATTTTTAAATGTGAACAGTTCGATTTTATCAGTAAGATTAAGATGTGAAATCACAGAAGAGAAAGGAACAATGAACTAGGAAATTGAAATGTTATAACCCGTAATTAATGGACAAGACATAAAGTAAAAACCCAAACCCAACCCACTATATTGCTCAATAAGCGAAACAATCCACCCCAAACAAATTAAAACCCAGGAAAATCCCCAATAAAAAAAATAGCCCAACCCCTGGAGCTGACAGAAAATAGAGTACTCCTGAAACCCGTCCCATAGAATAGAAAACAAGGAAAGATGAAGAGTGAAGAGCTCAGATAGAGGAGCGAAACTTACATTCGAAAGGAAAATGAAAGAAGTGAACGTAAGCCTCTAAGGTAGACCTGCCCTTAAAACATTCCCAACCTGCCGCCCGAATTGAATGTAAATTAAACCTAGATTCTGGAGAAAATATAGAAAATTAACCGTTACAACGTGAACGCAATATTTTGTAGGTGTGGGTTTTCTAAAAGCTTCCATGACTTCTTTTTTCCTTGGTTGTACAGCGCCGATGTATTATCGCAGCCCGTTATCGCACGAAGGAATAGGCGCGAAGAAAGACTGCCTACTATTCCTTCATGCGATAAAGGGTTGCGATACTACATCGGCGCTGTACAACCAAGGAAAAAAGAAGGCATGGAAGCTTTTAGAAAACCCACACCTACAAAATCTTGCATTCACGTTCAACAAACCGGGCACACCAAAAGAATCCATCGTATCAGCTGGTGAAAAATGTATTGTCCATCTCTACGGCAGTAAAGAAGACAATCAAAGCCTGGACGATCTCCAAATTCACCTCTATGCTCGCGCAGTAGCAAAGCAAAGCAAAGCTACGTTTGATCTAGCTACATTGCCGCCAACAACCGCCGCTGCCGAGCAACACAGTTTGCGGACGTACTTGCAAGTGAGATATGGAATCTGATTGTACAGTAGTTTTTAGTAGTTAATTCTATTTCTTATTTTCCTTACTTTAGGTTCACGAATGGCCATCGAGCAGTCTCTTGCCAACGGATTGGGGCTGGAAAAAAATGGGGCCCACACTTGTTCCAAATCCGACAAGTCTGCCACCAGCACCAGACGAACATCTACATTTGATTTCTTGCGCTTGCCAGCAAGGTTGTTTTAACCGCTGTTCGTGCCGCTCGGCCAACCTACACTGCACTTTAATGTGCGCGCATTGTAGAGGCAGGAGCTGTAATAATCTATAATGTTATATATAATAATGTTCCCGAACCCCCTTTGTTTTACGACGAAGTTTACTCAAAAATTTTTAATTTGGATTGTTTTGTTTAGAAAAAAATACAGTACAGTTTCCCTCAAAATTTACGCACTAAACACATTCCAAAAGTCTAAAACGCTCACAGTCAAAATACAAATAAGTCAGAGATGCGCCGCTATTAAGCCAACCGTATCTGGTCGATCTGGTGCACCTCTCAGGCAAGTCGCGCAACGGCGAGCGGCGCGTGGGATCGCACTTAACGGTTTGTAGCTCCCCTCCTATTGGTCGGATTTCAACGCAAAGGGTACGGTTTTAAAGTTAAAACTACGCTCTACAACATTTGTTTTGGTCATTTTTCCGATATCGGACGCTAAACCGCACCTATGTCCAAACAAAAAACAAAAACCGATTTTTTTGTCAAGTTTCGCGGTCTTTTTCCACTTCCTGTCTGGCCGGAAGTTGTCACTGGCACTTGCAAAAAATATCAAAAGATAGCCTGGTTACTAACCTTTAATTTAAGCCCTCCCGCGACTCTGGGACTTGTTCCGTTCGTCCGCTAGGCTATAATTATAGTGGCGTCGTGCAGATTTCAAGAGTTCGGACTTTCGAAAGCCCGAACTTCAAGGAAGCCGACATGGGAATTCTTGGGACTTTTTATATGTTGTTCAGGGCATCAAATAGAACAACTGTGCCAACTTTCAGATTTACGTTATTTTTCGTAGGGTTGACCCCATTTCTGATCTAAAATGCCTGGGCTATATTGGATACGCAACAAAAGTAAGTGTAAAAATCTGGGTGGATACGATGTCAAGATTGACACATAATCCAGTGTGTTATTATAAAGGACAAGGCATTGAAGACAAGATATTTGAAAAAAACGATTTTGTCTTAATAATTATTACAAAATTTCAAGGTGAACTGCTAAATACATTAGGTAGACAAAATTAAAAGTTTTATTGCCCAATTGCAAAATGATTGCGATACTCTAGAGTTTTATAAATACTTTGTTCATACATATGAATCGCGAACGCAACTGTGGGCATACTGCTTCAGAAAGCATATTGGTTTGAATACGAATATGCATTTAGAATCATTGCATAAAGTAATAAAACATGTCTATTTAGAAGGTAAAAAATGTCAAAGGTTAGATAAAACTATTAACACATTAATGGATCTTGTTAGAGACAAAATGTTTGATAGATTTATCAAGTTTTTTAAACACAAATCATCAAACAAAATACAAAAAATTAGGTTTAGTCATAAGCTTTCCTTAAGTATTAGTGATAAGTTAGTTACTAAATTACAACATGTAAATAATCAATGGACTGTAATTTCATCAAGTGATAATAATCATCTATATGTAGTACAGCAAATTAGCAATATATGTAAATTTTCCTGCAAATTGAAGTGTGATATATGCAAAATATGCATTCACATGTTTAAATGTAGTTGTGCAGATAGTGTAATTAATCTTAACATATGTAAGCATATCCATTCAGTTTGCAATTATTTCTTAAAGGGAACTGAAGATCCCCTGCCAAATATGTATGATGAAACATCAGAAATTTCCAACCTTATGCCCGAAACATCTTTGAACATACCAAAGGAAAACAATTCTATGATAACAACAAAATTGGAAATATTACTTGGTCTAAATAGTAGAACGGTATTAGACGCCAGCAATACTTTGTATGTTCAAAAAAGTTTAGATAAGCTTATTGATATTTATAACAATAGTACCAAGATAAATATTAAGCCTATTGAACAAGTTAATGTACAACAAAAGATAGAACCTCAGATTAGATTTTCTTCAAAAAATAAAAAACGGGAAGTAACATATCCAAGCACTAGTACTAAAGAAGAAGAAATGATACAAAGTATGTTAAAGGTAACTGATGGTTCTGTTCCAAATATACACACATGCTTTGACCACACATACACAAATACTATATAAAATCAGTACCTACTTCTAAAAAAATTGTACTATTCTCATATAAGTCAAATGCATTATACTTTGTTATAGCGTTGAGTGACTAATTCTCACTCAACGGTTATAGGGATTGCACATACTTGACAATTCATCATTATCATCATTAATTTTGAGAAGTAAAGGGAGGATCAAACATTCTAATTTTGTGTTTTCGGCTTTAAAAGCGCTCTCAAAGCCGTCTATAACGGACAACGTACTTGGCTTAAATCTGAATTACTACATTGGTACCAACGGAGGAATGAAATCAACCTGGATTTATACGGTATACATCTTGCCTTACATAAAATTCTTCACAACTTGGAATTGGATATGTTAATTTCGAAGGTCAAGGACGAAGTGGAGTCCTTCGGGATTACTATTTTCGACAAGCTCAATAATAAATTATACAGGCTTCGTTCTTCTAAGTTTTCGAATGTCGGAGAGATCCCGAAGGGAACCACCCCTTTCTTATTTCATGATAGAGTTTTAAACTTATCGAATGTACAATTTAAAAGAGATGAAGAACTCATTCTAAATAAAGGTCTCAAATTTAACCCCGGTCATTGGGATAAGAACACTTTAGACAATTTCAAAACAGATTTAGAATGTGTGATTCATAAACTAGATAATAAGGTTGATCAACACCATCTCCGAGCTTTATGTCATAACAAGTTGAAGCTAGCCACACAACCTAAGGGTATTTTTCATCAAAAAGTAATCAATTCTTTAAAGAAAAAATTTAAAATCAATAATTTAATTGCGACAAAAGCTGACAAAGGTAATGCGGTAGTCATAATGAACAAAGCTGATTACATCCTTGGTGTTGAGAATTTCCTTTCTACTGATGATTTTACTAAATCCAAAGTTAGCAACGAGGCGTTCCAGAAAAAAGTTCGTAAATTTCTCTTTGACAACAAATCCCTCCTTTATGAATTTTTCCAGATTCCTTATCTTCGTCTTACGCACATGAACCCTTCTTTTCCCAGATTATATGCCCTTCCCAAAATCCATAAACCAGGTTACCCTATGAGACCAATTGTTTCCTTTACCAACACCCCAGTTTCCAAGATCACTAGTTGGCTTAACTCTGTTCTTAGAAATTCTCTTGCACTCCAATTTCCCTACTCAATCAAAAATTCCATTACCCTAGTGGAGGATATTAAAAATTTCCAGATTACTGATTCGGATATCCTTGTTTCCTTCGATATCGTCAACCTGTTCCCGAGTATTCCCTTTATAGAATGTCTGAATATAATCGACGACCTCCTTATCCATTCCCCGCTTCCTGACCAAGTCTGTTCTTTCATTTCCAGATCCCTCCAATTGTGTTCTCAACAGAATTTTTTCTCTTTCAATAATAACTACTATATCCAAACTTCAGGTCTACCGATGGGTAGTAATTTATCCCCTTTGTTGGCCGAAATATTTCTCAACCATTTGGAATCCTTACTTTTCCAGTCCGAGGTCATTAAAACTCATTTTTTGTTTTACAAGAGATATGTTGATGATATATTGGTTATCTTTAGAGGTAATAGGTCTGAGTTACATGAGTGTTTCCAAATTTTGAATTCCCTTCATCAGAATATCGAATTCACGCTTGAAATCGAATCTAATAAGTCCCTCAATTTCTTAGACTTGTC